GTTACTATTTAAATTCGTAGCAAACGCTGTGATGTTTTTGTTACCAAATTTTTTTTGTGACGATCATATTGTTACCATTTTCAAATCTTTACAAAGACGTCACAATATCTTTATTGTTACGAAATAATATTTATTGTAACCAAATTTTTTGTCACAATATAACTATTTTCTTGTAGTGAATGGGGGTTTTTGTGGGGTTTGCGTGACACTGAAAACGCAAAATAAAACAAGAATAAGACTCTACTAAAACGAATGTTGGGCTGACAGGGATATCTTAGGGGATATTCGATTCATGCTAGGGTTTTAAAGCTCATAGGTGGTGATTTAGACTTCTCCAGGTTACTCTAATTGATGCATGATGGCATTTCCAATTAGTTTCCGGGCGATTTATCTTCATCTGTTTCTGAGATCTGCATGGAACTGGAATAGACATATGTATGATTAACCAACTCTTGTCACCTTAATCAACTAATCACTTACCTTGGCAATTGACTCTCGCTCTCATGCCGCGAATAAGATCATGCATTAGACATTGAATTCGTCTGCTCACATCTTCTCTACAGGTAGCTTTTGAACTTGTAGCGACTATGTTCTTCTGAAGCTTTGTTCTGGCAATCTGATACAACACTCTCGTGGCTCTGATTCCTAGATTCAGTAGTTAGATTGCGAGTTTAACTACATGCATTAAGAACAACTTAGAAGAGATGAGATCTAGAATATGACTAAGAAAACAACAGCAATCATAATCGAATATGGAGTCCCCTTCGATGGATCTCTTAAACCCAACAACTAAATTACTCTGACATGATTAAAGAAAGCATAAGCAAATAAATAGATAGCATAAACTGAATAGATGAAAAAAAACAACAAGGGTTTAAGGGAAGAATCTCTATCTCCCTAGCCTAAACCTAAGAAACAAAAGTTTGGTGCCTCCCTAACAAGGGGAAAGGAGCACACACGAAATAGGGTTTCTAAAATACATATTTATAGGTCTCCAAGTGTTGCTGGTCGTCCTTAGGGGTTCTTTTGCAGAGAGAATGAGTTGGGCTTGAAAACAGGCCATTGGGCCGTTTATGGGCTTGTCGCAGAGTTGGGTCTCCAAGTCTGGTAAACGGTGTTCCACCATGGTTGAAGGCTCTGAAGCGTGGCCAGGATGGTGTTCACCGCGGTCACGACCTCCTGGACCGCTGTGGTTGGTCTATGATGCCCGAACTTCATTCTTCCTCTTGGTTCATTCGCGAGACTGCAGAACATGTCTTCAGTAAATTAGAAATAACTTATGATACAACCGTTGGATTGCGTCCAATCTAGTTGAATTATAAATCTGGTTGTCTTCTATATCTTGTGTCCAAATTTGAGCTTGATCAGACGGTGAGAAGGTCTTAATCGGATGTGAAACTTCTAACGGTCCGAAATTGGCCAAAAGTGGATTTTTCTCCAATTTGCATTGCTTTTGCCTAAGTAACCTGAAAAGTCTTTTAAAACTCTAAAACATGGAAAACACTTATAAAACCTTCAAAAGTGATTGAAAACACCTGCATAAGATACTGAAAGTGATCCATAAATATGGTCAAAATCAGGTGTTATCAACTCCTCTCTTGTCTAACACGAGCTCACTCAGTCGACTCGTCTCTCTTTCTCCGAAGAAGCTTCAATTCAATCTCTCTCTCTCACGTCATTCCAAGCTCAAGCTTTGCTTTCTCCGACGATCTCGTTTTCTCTCTCAGCTGAGGTAATATCTTTCTGGGTTTGGTTTAACATTCCAAGTTTCTTCTCTAAACTACAAAACAGCTTTGAACATCATTGAGATTAGCTTTGTTTGTGATTTTCCAGTTAGTGATAACTTTGCTGTTAGCTTCCTTTGCTGTGTCACAGAGGATAATCTATGCTTGCTGCTTGTTCTGCTTGCTTCTTTTGTGATCTTTGTCTTTCTTTAGTCTTCTATTTGAATTCTCCTCTTATTCTAATAAAGAATTTTTTGTCATTATTTGTAAGATCTGGTGAATAGAAGGGAGAGTTGGTGGTTTAAGGATTATGCTTTTATAAAAAAACTTTGTTTTGCACCTTTATAAACATAGTATGATATGTTTTTTTCAATTTGATATTGTGTTTTGTATGATGAAATTATAATTCAAAAAGAAGATATTGTAGTTTGGTTCACCAATGAGAAAATATTTGTTTTAAATGTCTTTATTGGGTATGAATCAATCACTAAATTAATTGTTTTTTAATCAATTGTTATAATTTTTTTTTATAAACAAAACTTTTATTTTCATAAAACTAAAAAATTTCAAATGTTTAAAATAATCATCTGAAAATTATTTAGTTGTAAAACATTATTTATATTAAGAATTAATAATAATATAGTTAATATTACACTGAAAATATGATTAGATGAAAACATGAGTATTTTAGTCATTTTTTTATTTAGATGAAGATGTAAAATGATCAAACAAACAAAACTTCATTCAGATGGATCAGCCAAATGAATCACTTGAATGAATCATGAAATTTTATTAATGAAACAAACATAATGGATCAGTCAGATGAATCATCTGACTGCAAATATCAACTGCTCAAACAAACAAGACCTTAGTCATTCATGATACCATTTTTCCAATTTTGAAGTCAGAGATGGTTGAATCTTTTGTTTTAATCAAAGTTTAGTAACTTTTAAGCTCTTTCAGCATCTTATAAGAAACCAAAATCATATTATAGTTCACAACCACACCATCCACCCACTCCAAATAAAAGAAAACAAAGTTGTCGCTAAATGAAATATTAAAATAGTGATATGTTTGATGTAATTTATGTTTATCTCTTGAGTGTTAGTAATTTTTTTCCAGATTTTCATTAATCTTTCTAATTAATGTTGTTGCTCCTATAGGTATAAGTCCAACATTAATTATAGGAGCAACAACATTAATTTGATGTAACTTGCAATGATAGCCACCCATCAGCATCATCACCCTCATGTAGTGCACAATAGATGCCCAAACCTATAGTAAAAATAATAATCATTATACTTCAAAACAAAGCTTATGATGTATTTATCTACACATCGTAAACGTAGCTCAATAGTAATAGATAATATTTTATTAAGCCAAAATTCATCTCAAGCTCAATGAGTCATGGGATAATCTTACATAATTTGTGATCAACTACTTTGCTGAGTTTTTGGCATGAGACTGAGAATGAAATTGGTCAGGTTGTGGAAGCTTTAAACTACTATAATAGGTTAATATAGTCATTTCACTTTGTAAATAAGTGTAGTTTAATAAAAAAAAAATAATGTAGTTTTCAAAATATAAACTTATCTAAAAGTATTTTTTTCAAATTTTCTCATTTTTTAATGTGGCTAATATATTATATGCATGTTTTGAATTTTGCTTTTTGGAGTCAGAATTCTGTTTTGAATTTAATATTTAAAAGGCCCTTTAACAAAAAAATGAATTTAAAATTTAAAATCTAAATTTTTTTTATTAATTTGTAAAATTTTAAGATCATTTTTTTTTAATTTTTAAGTAATATATATATTTTTAAACTTAACGTGCATTGGATAATTAAATAGATCAATAATGATTCAAAACACCAGTAGATATAACTCCAAAAAAAATCCAAAACAACAACACATTAAAAATTGAACATACGAACTCCATAAGAATCCAAAACAACACATTTAAGAGTTGAACATAAGAGCTCAATAGGAGTAAATGGCTTCAAACAAGGAACTCAACAAAACCACCTATCATATGCTTCCGTTTGGCCACCCTAATGAATCCATTGTCTCCCCACCTTTTGCCATAAGAACCTTGGAATTCCATGAAAGGTTGCCCACTCCTGTTAATTCCATGAGCAACAAGCAGCATCACATGAAAAGATACAAAGGCCTCACCAACAGTTGGATAGTATAGCTGCTCCCCTCTTATCCTAAGATGAAAGGGTACATTTCCACGATAGTAGCTACTCAGTCTAGGCATAAAAACCAGAACCAAAATACCAAACTGACACCGACCCAAAATTACAATTTCGGTTTGGTTTCAGTTATGGCCAAAATAGCCATTGGATCATATATATCTATACTCGTGGGTATCAGGTATTACCCGAAACCGAACCAAAAATATTTTGGTATCCGAATACCCAAATCATAATTATATATTTTAAATATTAAATATATTACGTTTTTGGATAAATTTTTGGTATCATGGATATTTTTTTGGGTTTTTTGATATATTTTTGGATTATTGGATATATTTCGGATTATCAGATATAGTTTAGGTTTTCAGATATTTTTTTGGTATTTTGGATATATATATTTTTTGAATTTTTGGGTATATTTTTAGATTTTTGGATATATTTTTAGATTTTTTGGTTATATTTTAGGTATTTCGGATAATAAATATTCGATATCGATTAAGAACCGAAATATACAGGTACTTTCTGATTCTCAAATTTTAGAACCGAATCGATCCGTAACTGAATGGTACCGAATAATAGTAAACCAGAATCGAACTGAATATCTAAATGTCCAGGACGAGTAGTTATGAGAGATCTCTCCAGCGCCCCCACTAAAGCAAGTTCAAACTCCTCATATGATGGGTAATCAGTTGGCCTTCTAACCATCATTTTTAAATAATACTCTTTCTGTTTATTAAAAAATATCAAAATAATATTTTTATACATATTAAGAAAATTATTAAAATATTATTTTGTCTTTTATTAATATATTAAATATTTTTTCTCTAATTAATACATTAAATCAACATGGATAAAATCTGAGATATTATTTAAAATTCTACATTGAAAATATGAAACAATATACTCTTTATAAAATGAAAATAAAACTTTAAAATGACAAATGGAATGAGTTCGTATAAAACCAATCTTTAACACAAAAAATTAACACTCCTATTCTCAAAATAACAAAAAGTCGATTTTTTTATGAAGGGTATAATAGTCTTTGACAGTCTGAGGATTACGATAACCCTAAATAATGAGGTATATATATAACTTGCTGAAAAGCCCTAGCAGGCCTTCTTTGTGATTCATAGCCTGCAGATTATCGTCACTGCCTGAAGACGGCTTCATCTCACGCACCTCATCTCTGCAAATCACAATGGTAGTTACGGTTTCGGATTCTCTTCTTACTCTTTTAAAAAAGTTCACGAATGTTAGCTTCTTTGTCCCCGTCGATCTGCGAATGAAACTGCGCTTTTAGACGCTAAGTTTCTGCTATCTGTAGTCTTGATGATGCTATTTTTAAAGTGTAATCGCGAGTTTATCAAGAGAATGATTAAAAAGTTTTCATTTTTTTTTCTCTTTAGTTCCTGTGAAAATTTCTGATTGGTGATTTTCAATTTTTGTAATGAGTGTAGTCTCTGGTTGCAAACGAGGAGTTTCAGCACATTCTCCGTGTGCTGAACACAAATGTTGATGGTAAGCAGAAGATTATGTTTGCCCTTACCTCTATCAAAGGTATTGGTAGGCGAATGGCCAACATTGTCTGCAAGAAGGCTGATGTCGACATGAACAAAAGGTTTGAATGAGATTTTTGTTTTCTCTATGCTTTTCTGCAAGATAGAATAGTAATGGTTTGCTACTGATTCTTGAGTGTTGCTTAGCTTCATCATTAAAGGGTTTAGTTCATATACTTTCGTCTAAGTTTTGGTTCCTATTACTAACTTTTGGTTCCTATTACTAACTTTTGGTTCCTATTACTAACTTTTAAGTTATGCAAATGCTCTTCTCAAATCGTGTTGACTATCTGTTAATGCTAGTGTGGTATCAATGATACTCATGCTTGAGTGTCTTTTTCTTCTTCTGTGGAAAGCCTAGATTATGCATTTCTTAGAAATTGAGATTCTTGTTTAGTCATAACGATATAACTATAATTTGCTGTGTAATTTGTCTGTAAATGTTATTGTAAAGAAGCATTTTAGCTTTATTTTCTAGGTTTGACTTGGCAAATCTAGTTTGTTTAGTTGGTTGCTATATAGTTTGTGCAAATTATGTCGTTTTTGTGGGTAAATACGTTACAAGCTTTGTGAGAGATTGTTGTCTTATATGATCTTTCTTTACAGGGCTGGTGAGTTATCTGCAGCTGAGATCGACAACCTCATGACAATTGTTGCGAACCCAAAGCAGTACAAGATTCCAGACTGGTTCTTGAACAGACAAAAAGACTACAAAGATGGAAAGTACTCTCAAGTTCTCTCCAATGGTCTTGACATGAAGCTCAGGGATGATCTTGAACGTCTCAAGAAAATCAGGTAAACTCATCACACTGATCCATCAAGTTCTCTCCAATGTTCTTGACGCTGTCACCATTTTGTGTTCTCTTTGTGTTGGACTGAGTATTTTTATGTAACGGTGGTTTGTTGCATTTGACTTAAACCGAGCAGGAACCATCGTGGTCTGAGACATTACTGGGGTCTCCGTGTCCGTGGACAACACACCAAGACAACTGGTCGCAGAGGAAAGACTGTTGGTGTGTCAAAGAAGCGTTAAGCAAGCCATAATGTTGCTACTTACACCTTTATTTGGATATGCTTCATGAGGAGTTTTGAATTATGTTTTTTCGAACTAGTTTGTGCGACACTTTTGGATCATCCTGTGAAACTGTCTTTTTCATTAGTACATTTTGGCTTTTAGAATTATCTGTTTCTATGCTTGTTACATCTGTGCCTGTTCTCGCTGTTATTGTGGCTTCAAAGTGATTACAGCGTAAAAAAATAGTTTTACTGGGTATTAGGTTTCTACAAATGAGATAAAACATAGCTAATTAATAGGTTTTTGTACATATCCAAACATTTGGTCCTTCGTATCCAATCAGAAACACTATATGATTAAAACTTTTAATTTAAAAGCTATAAAAGAATAACTTAAATGAGCCTTATCAGAATCAGCTCCATGTTTTTGTTGTCTGGTCGTTGGAAGAGTATAACTCTTCCTCTCCTTACCACCTGGCTTGGACGAGGCATCACCATACCACATCATCCGGAGTACTGCAATGACCATGCCGAGAACCACGTGCAGGTTTATACCATTTCTGTCAAAGAAGAAGAAGCCATTATCAGCACCAAGATAGTCTTCATATGCCCCAAGACTTGGAACGACACCGCTGTGAATCTCCCCATGCAGATGAACTGGCTCAGCTTTGTCCCGATGGCTATTGTACACGAGAGGGTAATAAACATCTGCAGAAACAGCACAACAAATTGAGTTTCAACATGACTGGTTTGCACTGTGCATCATGGTTTTGCCTTTGGAAGCTTGGCAATAACTAAGGACAATTCATATTACACAACAAGAAAAGGCTCAAGTGTGCATCAAGAAGTCTTAATAACCTTTTCTGAAAAGAGGAGATATTTGTTTTAGTATGATATAAGTGTTTCTAGGACTTACCACAGAGACAAAGTTGTAGTCATACATGTCTACTCGTATGTTTGTCAACCAATGGTCCAACTATCAACAATGTCGCAGCCTGTGCTGGAGCAGTATGACCCAATAGATTGAATGAGCTAAGCGAATACTTTCTTTGAAGAAAATGTACATACTGAAACAAAACGAGAAAACTTTTGTGTCAATTTAGATAAGAAAGAAGTTACGTTACGTTGTAATGCCACCATGAAAAGGCTCAGAGAACTTAACGTATTGTTGCAAAACAGTACCACACAGCAATGAAAGCAGCAACGAAGCCTTTGGTGTTTACACTAAGATTTGTAACAGTGCAAACACCAACACCCACAAGAACAAGTCCTATGCTAAGTTTCGTGTCTCTCGAGTAACGAATCTTATCTAGCACAACGTCCAACAAGCAAGATTCAGGAATCATGCTGAGCTTTGCAATCTGTAAGACGCCATAGAATTCAACAGAAGCGTTTTCTTTTACCCAAACAAGCATAGGTTTTGCAGGAATCTTACTTGATAAAACCCAACGGAGTTCCACATAAGACTAACGTTCATTCCAGCGATCGAAAAGTTTGCAAACAGGATAATCTTAAGAAGCTCTGTAAATGGAAGATGAGATGGCTGAATGTAGCCTAGACATCTTAGAACAACTGTCATGACTCATGAGTGTCGTCGTTGCGAAATGCAGACCGGTTAAGGTTGTTTCTGCGGTGAATCGAAATCATTAGAAGTTTCAGAAAACGAAGATAGTACGAGGTAAAGAAATGTTTTTTTTTTAATCTACCAACCAAAGCTAAAGCCATGTATAGCCATTAAAGCTTTATTGACAATGATAGGCCAAACACACTAGCGTCTTACAATCTACAAAAGTTACAAAATAATATAACATTTCCTATAAGTTAAGATAAAATCTTAATTTACAAGTCTCTTGAATCTTGTCACTTGTCACAGAAACACAGAGGTAAAAGGTCAAGACCAGCTTGGTGTGCATCCAGCTAGAATGATTTGGAATTTTAAGACAGTTCAAAAGCCAGACCAGAGATCAAACTCTTACTAATGATGCTCCAACACTAGCTTCATGCACTCTTCTGCTGTCTATACATTAGAGAAGAATTGTATACCACAATGTTTTATATCGCAAATATCCCAACCAAATTTTAATTCCACTGCGTCGTAGTTAGACGCGGCTAGAGGATCGCTATCTTTTTTTAGAGGGAAACAACAGTCGAATATAACTACATGACTGTCCAAGAGACGTGTGATGAAGATGAGGATATGAAGATCAGAAGAGTAAAAGTTGTTCCCCTGTTTGCCTTTGAGGAGGTAACACACCCTGATAATGCTTTTGACCCAAGTAGGCTAAGTTGCATCGGTGTCAACTAAGACGCAAGCCTTAAATCGCAAAGAAGATCCATAGAGAGAGCTCTGAAGTAAAGGGATCATCAAGTAACTTCCCGTAGCTCGGTGAGTGAAATACTCGGGCACTTCTCCACCAGGAAGGATCATGTACTTGAAAACCGAGTTCGTATGAGAGATTCTTGGACCAGCTTAAAGCAGTTAATGAAATGGAGAATGGTTTCCGGGTTCTCAAAAGGAGTCAGATATACTCTTGAGTGATTCACAATCATGTGCGCGTAATATTTTGAGTGACATCTGGAGCTCGAGCAAGGACTCGAGCTTTCTGCAGGTGCCAATGTCAAGTTCTTCAGGTTTAATGGAAACCAATGAGTGTGGATGATATGCCTTTTAATGCATACTACAGAAAGAAGCCGAAGAAGAAGTCTGTGGAAGGGAAGTCAACGGATGATGTGGATTAAGATGAAGCAGTTGACTCGAGCAAAGACTTGGAGGGAACTAGAGACTTTGCCGTTTAGCTGAAGGAGATAGATTTTTCTAAACTGGCAATCTCATACCTTCACAAATCTGGAGTGATATTAGTATGGATTTTGTTGAAGGTTTACCATCATCAGCGGGTATCAATGTGGTATTTGTGGTAATTGATCGATTGAGTAAATATGGGCACTTCATAGGAATGAAGCATCCCTTTTCAGCTGTAGATGTGGCAAGCAAGTTTGTTTCTGAAATAGTCAGGCTTCATGGATTTCCCAACTCTATTGTGTCTGACCGTGACAGAATTTTTCTGAGTTCATTTTGGAAGGAGAGCTTTAAATTAGCAGGAACTCAGTTGAAGTTTAGGTCGGCGTTTCACCCACAAACTGACGACCAAACGGAAGTTTTGAATCGGTGCTTAGAGACGTATCTTCGATGCTTCGCTTCAACTCACCCTAAGACCTGATTCAAATTTCTTCATTGGGCAGAGTATTGGTATAACACATCATATCATACGGCTCTACAATCAACTCCTTTCAAAGTGGTTTATGGTCGTGAACCACCAAATCTGTTTAAGTTTGAAGATGGGTCGTCGAAGAATTTTGAATTAGAAGAGAAACTGAAGGAAAGAGACCGGATGTTGGAGGAAATCAAAGGTATGTTGTTGCGAGCTCAGGATATAATGAAGAAGAATGCTGACAAAGAAAGGAGAGATGTGGAATTTGAAGTGGGATCTAAAGTCTTTCTTAAACTCCGTCCTTATCGACAACAATCCGTGGCAAGGAGAGTGTGTCAGAAGTTGGCGGCAAGGTTTTATGGACCATTTGTGGTGCTTGAACGCATTGGGAAAACAGCATATAGATTGCAACTACCAGACTCATCGAAGATACATCCAGTATTTCATGTTTCACAATTGAAAGCTGTCAAGGGCCAAAATGTAGAGGTGTATCCACTACCCTCGTCTTTTTCGGATGCTGGTGAGTTAATAATGGTGCCGGAGGAAGTGCTGGAGTACCGCTTTAACAAGTCCGATGGTCGCTTGGAAGTGTAGATTCAGTGGGTTGATCTTCCTCGCCATGAATGTACATGGGTTGATGCTAAAGACCTTAAAACTCAGTATCCTACATTCCAGCTTGAGGACAAGCTGCGTCTTATTGGGGGAGGTAATGATATGCCTTTTAATGCATACTACAGAAAGAAACCGAAGAAGAAGTCTGTGGAAGGGAAGTCAATGGATGACGTGGATTAAGATGAAGCAGTTGACTCGAGCAAAGACTTGGAGGGAACTAGAGACTTTGCCGTTTAGCTGAAGAATGGATATAAATAATAGGATTCTTTCGGAGGGAAAGGGGGATATCGGGATATTTTGGGAGTCGGTTGTGAAGAGTGAGAGCTCTACGACGATGGCGTTGATCAACTTGTGATCTTCGTGGAGGGATATTGAGAGATTATAGTGAGGAAGAAGATACATACTCCATTGTAATTCTCTCAGTTCTCTTGTTACATTTCAATAAGAATACGTATTCCTTAAGATCCGACTTTTGAACATAACAGTGGAAGTCTACTAAAAGTGGTATCAGACATGACTAAATCTCTAAGAGGAGCAGCGACCACTTGAGGATCATTGTCCCAGCTATCCTCTGTCAATGCCAAACAGAACGAAAAATCTATCTCCTCAAGATGTTTGAGTTTAGAAATATTCGGTGAGATGCGTCTTAACTTGCTGCAACCACTCATCAATAGGAGAGTAAGACCAGATATATTCTCGATCCACCAAGGAACTTCTTCGATCACGGTGTTTTCTAGAGAGAGAACTGAAATGTTCCGTGAAATATCAGGAAAACTTACAACCCGTGAGCATCCATACAGAGTGAGGTTAGAGAGAGATTCCAAGTTGATGTCCTTTGGAAGAACCTCGAGATTTCTGCATTCTTCCATGTTCAATGTTTTCAGTTTCTTGAGATTCTGAATAGAAGTAGGAAGCATCTCTAGACTAAGACAATCGGCAAGATACAGTTCCTCAAGATTAGTAGCTTTCGAAAGATCTGGGATTTCTTTCAGTTTTTTAGAGCTCCATAAACTCATACTCTTGAGATGTTTAAGTGGCTGCATAAAAAAAAATCAAAGCACGCTTAGAATATTGATACATCTTCAAGTAAAGGTGCCATCCTAAGGACTTGGAATGTAAGTATAATAAACTCTTTCAAGTCATCTAAAAACTTACTTGAGTCCCTTCCCACATCTTCTCAAGCTCGCTATCTATCATATCGAGCTCAACGAGATTCGCTGGTGAAAAGTTTGAAGGCATGCATTTCATTGGGTATGCATCCCAGTGTAGCAATCTAAGTCGACGAGACAAAGACTTTATGCCTTTGGGCAAGTACAGCTTATTCTCTTCATTACTCTTCAATGGGTTCTTGTAAATTTTTAGAAAGCGGAGATTACACATCCCTTCGAATGCTCCCTCATCCAGTGTGAACAACTCATCAATTTCTGATCTGTCCCATGAAATACCTAAAACAGCTTTAGTACCCTGAAAAAAAGTTATCAAAAAAAGAAAGAAAATCAGTATTGCAAGCCAGAGAGCCGAGATTATGAAGTCTGAGTCTTTGTAGTGCAAATTGAAAACTCTTACAGTGTTATCCTCCAGTACATCACAGATCTTCTTGGAATCCACCAAAAACTGACGTTTTCCAGGCTCGTCAAAGGACTGTGCAGATACAATTCCTCTACCCATTTCTTGCAGTAAACTGTGCATCTCCACAGTTTTCCACAAGTGCGTTATGCATATGAGCGACTTATCAACTAAAGATTTAAGACCAATGTCAACATCAAAGTCGCTATCGGCGAGCAACCATTTCAAGTTATCAACTTTTGCACCATTGAATAAACACGCTATGTGAAGAAATATCTTCTTATGTGTTTCCTTCAACGCATCATAACTGAATCTTAATGCTTTTTCGATTTCTCCATTCAGACAAGTTCTTAGCTCAGGTAGCATGTCCACCCAATCCTCCTTCTTCCTCCCTCGCAAAGAAGAACCCAAAAGCTTAAGACCCAAAGGAAGATTACCAGCGAGTTCCGAAATTTTAACAGCGAGCTCCATGAAACCATCAAATGGAGATCCTTGGCTAAAAGCGGACTGACAGAACATCTGGAAAGCTTGATCTTCAGACGGGAAACCCACCTCGTAAACACGATCAATACCATGACTTCTTAACAAGTGTACATCCTTTGTTACCACAATAATACTGCTACCAGAACCAAACCATAGAGTTTGTCCAATTAATGCATCAAGAAGCAGTCGATCATCCACAATCCACATCGTCAATAACTATTAGAACTTTCTGGTTCTTTAGCCTTCCTCCTAACACACCTAAACGATCTATCTTTACATCCTTTTGATCTAAAATCTCAGATAGAAATCTATTTTGCAATTGAAGCTTCACTCCATAACCGTCCAGATTGATTATTTTATAACTTTCTAGAGCTTATCTGTGAAGGATCTATCAATGAAGACACAGCTTTGGAATTGATTTGAGAGTCTACCAAATAGAGCTCTTGCAATGGTACTCTTACCAATCCCTGAAGGGCCCAAATCCCTACCATCATCACTTCTTTAGCATCCAAACACAACAATGAAACCATGTTTGCTACATGAACTTCGATCCCAATCAACCCATCAGAATCTTCTGATGGTGAACAATTCAGCTTACATGATACATCATTGACGAAATCTTCGATCATGTGTACTTCATTGTCCCTGAAACAAAAGAGAACAATTGATTTCAATAGCTAAAATTCAAAAAGAGAACATAATCGAGACTCAGACCATTTACGAGAAGGTGTCCATGGATATTCGCTACTTGGGTTAAAGCAAGCCGCCATTGTTTTGCCTCGTCCTCTGTTTTGTCCTCGCAGGTTATCTCAAAGGCCTTACCGAAATCACCTGTTTGATTCCTCACATGAGAAGGATCCAAATCGTAGAAGATCGTCAT